GGTTGTAATTGAGCTGGAATCATACAACGATGAGGAGGAACTCGGGTAGAAACGAGTGGCTACTTGGACGCGTCACGTGTGGGATCTCGAGATGCTTTCCTATTGTCAGCTGTTGCGAGTGAGATAGGGAGAGGGAGAGAGAAGGGGAGAGAGAGATTTAAGAGGAATATCGAAAGTGACGTGTTTATATATATATATATACTATATAGGGGACGATTATAGACAATTGTGTGGATCGCACGTAAGCTGAGTAATTATACATAGTTGTGAGTGGTTTGCTTTAGAGAAGGAGGGTGGTGATATATTCGTGGAAGAAGAGATCTTTTGGAAGATTTTTAGAATGTAATAAAAATTGTTTATATGTATGAAAAAAAAATGTGGCTATGCAAATTTGGAAATATTTTATGGTGTAATTTTATGGTATTTTCAGATATATTTTTCCACTTGTTAAATATATCTTGCGTTATTTTTCATGAAATTAAATGTAAATTCGTCGAAATCATATGAATTATATTTTGAAAATTTTGTAACTAATTAGTACAAGAGAAAATTTATTTATTTATTATTTAAATTTACATTATATTTTCAATTCTTAATAAAAAGAATTTTCCATCGATTACTAGCTACTTATAAACGATTCAGATATCTTCATTTTAATAATTAAGAAATATTGTCAATAGGTAAATCAATAAGAATATATTATTACAAATAAAAGAATGATAATTTGTTACAATGTTTATTAATTTCGAATTAAAAGAATATAAACGTAACACACGAAAATGCTCAATGGAATCCAATACACGAGTGATACAATGAAATTTCAACATCAGCAGGGATCAATGAAATCGAATCAACCCGGCATCAATCGTGATGTTCGTGGCCATCAAAATCTCAAAACCATTGTCACACGTGCGTCGTTTCACTCGCGAACAATCGTGACACGAGTCATAAATCAGTAGGTAACCATTTTGATCCACGTTTGAATACCACGTGTTTTATTTAGAACAATACAATGTAGAGTTAATGGAACTTCTATTAAAACCATCGTTAAATCTCACTTATATTCGTTAATAAGACAGAAATTGATGAGGTGTATAATTTGAGTGACCGATATGGATTGGCCAACACTGTAATTGATACAATGTCTATCCATTTTGAACGAATTGATCAATTACTTGTACACTCGTTATTATCAACGAAATTGTTTTGACGTGTAATAAAGGATCTAAGTAAAGGGACTATGATGATCAATTAATTGTTTAAACTAAGAACGGGTGAGATAATCAAGTTAGCATATTTATTAAAATAAAATTATAGCAAGAAGATATTCGTTGAAAATATTATCCTGTGAAATAATGTAAATTATCCATTCTTTTGATCAGAGACTCTTGTAAAAGTATATTTATATATAAAATATATAAATATATATTTCTTATTATTTTATCCTTAACAAATACATGTACAGGATGAAATTAAAATATATTATAAACAATGTTCACATAAATTTGATAGACAATCACACTATTCTCCTATATCTCCTATATCTTTACAGTTTACAGTTCCAAATATATTTATCCTTCATCACGTTTTCTTCGATTAAATTTCAAACCAAGGACGTCAAAAATAAACAAACATCCAAATACAAATTTGTTGCACTCACTTGTGGAATCATTTGCACGATGGCAAATTATTGTTAATAATTCCAGACATGTTTAATTAAATAATTTACAAATTAAATTTATCCGGATGTTTTGAATTTGTTATCGATCAACGGGGCGACACTATACCGTATTCGCTTGTCAATAGGGAAGAGCGAGAAGGCGACATCGATCGTCGTGGCCGCACGGGAAGGCGGTGGAAGGCAAACGTCGTCGCTAATTTATTCGTGGAAGCACCAAGAGAGCGCCGACACCCTCTCCAAATTTCCTCTTCCGACGTGTACGCGATTCGATCATGTCGGCCTACGTTATTTTGCCGTCGTCGGAACAGAGCACAGGAACCACTTATATTTGTGTTTATTACGTCGAGATGTGACGTCATTTCCTGAGGGAAGGAGGACGGAATAACCTCATCACCGTATCCCACAGACTCGGCGGCAGTGATTCCCCTCTTTGAATGGA